AGAGGTGCAGGGTTGCCATGGTTTGGGATGAGCAGAGGCAGCAATGCACCCTGGGAAATTGGTATGCAGAATGCTTGGCCGTCTATAAGCAAAGGCTGCTGCGCTCCGTGAGGTCCCTGGTATCCTGGGTACAGATAGCCGGCGTGCAAATTGAATGCGTTAACACGCCAGATGTGACGGGTGTAATAAACCACAGCATTTCCCTTCAAATTAATTGCAAGGGAGGGGGCTTATCTCCTGTCCTTTCCCGGTTGTCACTTTTGCTTTGAATGCATGCCACTGAAGTTCCACGGAGAGGTGGCGAGATAAAAATGCAATAAGCAACATAAAATCAGTCACATGTGAAGCAATATTCCCTCAGTGTGTGTTGAATAGGGTAGCCACTAGCACAGTGCAGAAAAAGAGGTCACATGGTTGTAGTCTTACTCAAAGCAAACCCACTGAAATTAATGGATATGACTAGGTTCATTAATTTCATTGGGTCAACTCGGAGTAGAATGTAGCTGTCTATCTAAAACAATATACCCTGGGTGTGTCTCAAGTATGGTGGTTGCCTACACATCACCCAAAAAGGGGACACGGATTTTCATTTTGATTGTCATTTTACACCAAAACAAGCTCAAAGTGACCTACAGAATACAAATGACTGGCCCTACCATTAGACGGAGTGAGGCAGCTGCCTCAGGCAGCAAATCCTGGGCAGGCTTTCTTGCCTCAGGAGCTTGGAAGATGCAATCCTGTTGCCAGTGTAGATGTAAGATTTCAGCTGCACAGTTGGCCAGCTTCTGCACATAGATTTGGAGGAGGCAGGGTTGCCATCTTGGCCTTTGCCTCATGAAATGTCTTGGGCCGGCTCTAGAGATCGCCGTAGAAGCAGGATATGACTAAAATATTCTATTTGCTGTTGGATCCTATTTTTTCTATGTTCTGCTAGCGAAAAGTGCCCTGGCAGTTGAAGAAACAAACAAACCCCCCCCCCCAAAAAAAACCAGTGCCTTTTTGAAACCAGCCGTTCAGATAAGTGCCACTTTGAAAGGTTCAGACAGCCATCTTGATTCAAAATGGCGCCCAATTGCAGCTAAACATAGATGAAAACCTGCTGCTTGGTCTCCAGAACCGTTGTGCAAAATTTGGTGATGGTCTCTTAAGAGGTACCCAAATGCATGGGAAACAGACAAAGAACTTTCAAAAATGCACAGTGCTCTGTTTATGTGTCAGTGTTGGTTTCCATGCTTCTGATCCATCATCTCCAGGCAATAAACTGCAGGCAGCAGTGATGGGAAACTGCCTTTACCTGAGACCCCAGAGTGCAAGTCAGACCAAGAAGCATTCCACTAGAGAGCCAGTTCTTTGCATGGAACAGTAACACCCTCCCTGTGGCCAGTGCGGTGAGAGGTATTCTGGAACTCTGGATTCAAGCAAAGGCAGCGTTGTACGTTGATCAAGGTGGGAGCCGGCTGCCTGTACTCTGTCAAAGTGACCGGGTTGCTATGCTCCTGTAATTATGAGTGGATGAGTTTTTATCCTCCTCCATTTCTAATCAGTTAATTGGCCACATCACCCTCTCCTCTTGCCTGGTTTCAGCAGGGATGCCTCTCTTCGGCTGCGGCAAGCCAGAGCCTTGATTTTGTAGGACTTGGTGCGGTTATTAAGATTGATATTTTGTAGGGGTTCATTTGCCTTTGTTTGTGTGTGTGTCAGGTGTAGATCAGCAATAAAAACACTGGTGTTTGTGAAGTTAACTCTTTATTCAAAGAAACCAAAACAGTGTGATCCCTGCAACTTTTCCCAGTAGGTCTTGCCCCAATGAGGCAGTTGCGAAGACTGAAGGTCCCTGCCTTCCCACAGCTGCCTAAGTCCCCTCCTCTTTAGGGGTCCCCCCCCCATCTGTGTGCAACCAATCTCTCCTCTGCTCTTTTCCTTTCTCTGCATATTCTGGGAGACCAGTGGGGAAGGGAGCTGGTTGCAGCAGAAGGGGGAGTCTCCCTGGATGCTTCGGCAGTAGGCCAAATTCCTGTCTCCTGGCCTCCTCCTCCCCAGCCTCCACTTCAGCCTCAGAGTCTGGACAGCAGTGTACAAAAATTGCTACCAAAAGGAAATAAAGCAAAGATTTAAAATATACCTATAAAATAGCACGTCAAACAACGGATATAAGAAAGCCATAGAAGGCAGCCTCCCAGATATTGCTGGACTACAACTCCCATCACCCCTTGCCAACAACATCTAGAGGGCCATTGGTTCCCCATCCCTGGCTAAGAGAGAGAGAGGCTTGCCTAAGAGTGTAGCAGAGGTCAGTTCTGAACCTGGCACCCTCTGTTTCACAGCTCAGGCAGAACAGTAGTAGACACGCTTTGATGGTGCCTTCAGAGAGCAACATCCACGTTCCCTGGTGCCCTTCCAGCCTTTGAACCAAAGCAAGTCCAGTCAAGGGAGTGATGTAGGATGCTCTTGCCTGAAGCCTGTTAATGAAGCAGCACCTTGGACAGTTGGGCAGGTGTTCTGCTGAGTCCCAGAGCTGGCTGGGTGAAATTCTCCCAGCGCTGAGAGCCAGCAGAGAGCAGCTTGTGCACCTGGAGTGGAATATCTGCAGGATCTATGGGAACTTTGCCCAGTGGGTCACTGAAAGCTTGTGCTTTCCAGGGAGGGATCTAAGAAAGCCATGTGTCTTGCACAAACTAAACTTGGGAGGGATGGCTGAGATCACCCGCTGGTGAAAGATACTCTGCATATGCCAAGGGGCACTCTCTTCTTTTGTGTATTCTGGGATGGAGCTCTGGCAAGGAAAAAGGAAGGAGCTATGCCTGGATGAGTGCCAATGAGTCAGGGCTGAACCCATATCCGTTGGATTTCTTGTGGTGGGGAGGGGCTTTCATCCATCCCAGCTCTGTGCTTTGTTGAGATTGGACTTTGGGATTACCTGGTTTTAGGTATGAAGACCTAAGAGGCCACCCACTTTGCTGAAGCCATGCAGGTATGGGTCTTGCCCATGTCAGGATGGGCGACTGACTCTCTGAGACCTTCAAGTGCACTGCCTTGGGTACCATGGCAGAAGGGCAAGCTGCCTATACAGAATCAGGTCCATCTACACTGATGGGCAGCGACACTCCAGGATCTCAAGCAGGGGTCTCTCCTAGCTCTACCTAAAGATACTGGACTTGGGACCTTCTGAATGCAAAGCAGGTGCTCTATCACTGAGCTACGACCCCCTCCCTTTAGCAATATAGGAAGCTGCCTTATCCTGAGTCAGACCAGTGGCCCATCCAACTCAATTTTGCCCACACTAACTGGAAGTAACTCCAAGGTTCAGATGGGGGACATTCCCAGTCAAACCTGGAGATGCCAGGGATTGAACCAGGGACCTTCTGCAGCAAAGCAGATGCTTTGCCACCAAGCTGTGGTCCTTCCCTTTAGGAATGGAGGAAGTTCCCTTATCCTGAATCAGACGATTGGTACATCTGGGTCTCTATTGCCCGCTCTGACTGGCAGCGGCTCTCTAGGCTTTGGGGCAGAGACTCGTTTCCCAGCCCTTACCTGGAGATGCTGGGGACAGAACCTGGGTCTTTGTGTGCATGCATATCAGAATCTCTACCACTGAGCTGTATCCCCCCTCTTTTTAAAGTAGCTTCATTTTCTTTGTTGTTGTTCTAATCAGATAATGGCTTAAACACTTGGCTATCATTTGACTGGGCAATTGATCACGTTTCACCATTGCCACCTATGCAGCCCCTATCAAACACACAACCCCACTGCGCACTCAGAAGGCTCCTACTAGGTGATGTTTCTTCACATTTTCACCTGAGAGGTTTGATGTGGGGAGAGAGGCGTGCCTTCTAACAAATTCTGGAGCCCCTGCTCCCATAAACAAACCTTTTCCCTTGTCTACCCTCTTGTGGGCTAATGGTATTGATTTCTGTGTTAACACCAGCTATGATTCTATTCTATGTTCTGCCACGTAATAATGGGGTGGTTGTTCCCTGCACTGTAATTTCCTCCCTGTTTCTTTCAAGAGGCCGGCTGGACTTAGCAAATGATGTGCAAACTCTCTGGCCCTCCCTGCCCTGAGGGCACAAAGCCTGATCACGTGGCCTCCAGCATTTGCAATGAGCTGCTAATGAGCTGCCAATTACTTATTGGCAGAGCGGATGCACCCAGGGCTTGGGGCAACTGCAGAGCTGAAGTGTGCAGCATCCCCATGCTAAGGAAATAAATCATCTGGTTTTACAGCTTGCGTGGAGAGTAAGAGCTGCTTCCTGCACACATTTTATCATGCCAAGGGTGCTGTAGAAGGACGCGGAAGGTGCTGTTAGTTGATAGTGGCATATTAAACAATGGGTGGTATGGGGAAACTGTCTAGAGAAGAGCTTGTCTCCACTGTTAGAAACACAGATACAGTCATACCTCGGGTTACAGATGCTTTAGGTTGTGTTTTTTCGGATTATGTACCCGCTGAAACCTGGAAGTACCGGAATGGGTTACTTCCGGGTTTCGGGGGTCGTGCATGCACAGAAGTGCAGAATCACAACTCGCGTGTGTGCAGATGCACCACTGCAGGTTGCGAACGCTGCGGGTTGCGAATGTGCATCCCACACAGATCACGTTCTTAACCCGAACATCCACTGCACAGTATATAAGCTAGGCGCCAAATGGCTCCTTAAACCAAGGTTACAGTTGCCAAAATAGAATGTCTTCTTGTCATTTTTGGACCAGATGGATCTAAAATCTTATTTTTCAAATGATGGGCTGACTTGAGATTGATTATCAGTTAAACATCTGGCTAGTTCAGATGACAACCTTGAGCTGGGTTAAGAACGTTGAGAACTTAAAGAAGAAAAGTGACTTGATCCTGCGGCAGTCTGTTTATATATTGGCCTGTTCCTACTTCTGTTTTCTTAATGGTGACACAGACCATTCATAATGTAAGAATATTCTTCACAATTGTGAACAGGGCAGTGGGGTGGGGTAAGTGAAGACAAGCTACAACCATTAACTATAATGTTCCTGTTCTGGCTCCACAGAAAAAGCACTTTGGGTCCTGAAATTCATTTTGATAGCCGATAGAATTCTACAGGATGTGGTATTAGTGTCTGAAAACAGCCAAGATCCAGTGATCCCCAGGCATGCACCTCCAGATGGTGGAGACATCAGGCACTATCCTGGCGCCCAGGCATTCACTTGGTCCTAGTGGCTAATAAAGGTAAAGGTAAAGGGACCCCTGACCATTAGGTCCAGTCGTGACTGACTCTGGAGTTGCGGCGCTCATCTTGCTTTATTGGCCGAGGGAGCCGGCGTACAGCTTCTGGGTCATGTGGCCAGCATGACTAAGCCGCTTCTGGCGAACCAGAGCAGTGCACGGGAAACACCGTTTACCTTCCCGGTGGAGTGGTACCTATTTATCTACTTGCACTTAGACGTGCTTTCGAACTGCTAGGTTGGCAGGAGCAGGGACCGAGAAATGGGAGCTCACCCCGTTGCAGAGATTCGAACCGCCGACCTTCTGATTGGCAAGTCCTAGGCTCTGTGGTTTAACCCACAGCGACACCTGCGTCCCTTTCTAGTGGCTGATAGCCAGGTGCAAAATGCGCCTGGTGCCTGGATAATTTCGAACACTTCTTGTCTCCCATAACACTGGAACTCATGGTTGTTAAATGAAGCTGAATGTTGGACAATTTGTCACAGAGCAAAGGAAGTCCTACTTCACATAGTGCACAGTTAAACTGTGGCACTAAGTCCACAGTAGGCAGTGATCGCCTACGACTTGGGTGGCTTCAAAAGAAGATCAGACCAATTCATGGAGGATAAGGCTGTCAATGGCTGGCCTCAACCAGAGCCAGGGCTTTTTTGGCCGTGGCCCCGATCTGGTGGAACGCTCTGCCGCAAGAGACTAGGGCCCTGCGGGACTTGACATCTTCCGCAGGGCCTGCAAGACAGAGCTGTTCCACCAGGCCTTTGGCCAGGGCACAGTCTGACCCACTCCTTCTGTGATCCTCATAGCACTCCAGCCTAATGGTTGCCATTAATTTGATTTTCAATTGATTTTAGAATGAATTGATTTTAGAATGTATTTCAATTAATTGATTGTGATTTTATGTAAACTGTGTTATTTTTATTGTTAGCCACTCTGAGCCCGGCTTCGGCTGGGGAGGGCGGGATATAAATAAAATTTTATTATTATTTATTCTTAATATTACTAACCACAATGACTGTGTTCCACCTCCACTGTTGGAGGCTGTAGGCTGTAGGCTGAAGACCTCTTTCTGGGAATTACAGGCAGGCAGAGTGCTGTTGCACTCAGGTCCTGTTTGCCCACTTCCCACCGGCATCTCACTGGCCACTGTGAGAACAGGATGCTAGACTAGATAGGCCCTTGGTCTGACCCAGCAGCAGGGTTTGTCTCATGTTTTTATGCTCTCCCACCCATGTTACTGCTGTATGAACTTCAGCTTCCAAGGAAGATTGTGTTACTTTTGGCAGAATCTTGGTGCTCTCTGATAACCGACAGAAGCTGCTGTTCTCTGTGTGCAGCCAGAGAACTGGTAGGGTAGTACCGTCGGAATCAAATCTGTCCTCAAAAACGTATTATGCAAAAAATGGCAGGGGCTGCGTAGGGGCTTAATTGTGCAACTGTGCACATTACTCCCCAGTGGGATGTGTCTGCCTGTGACCTGTAGTTCTTGCCGGAGTGGTACATCGTCTCGATAAGTTGAACTCGCCTTGAAGCACAGACTTGCCAACAAGATTGAACAGCGCTGTATCGAAGCAATCAAGTGAAAATTGGCTGGGGTAGACATTGCCGGAGGGCAGGACGTCTCACCATTGGAAACACGGGGCAGCTATCAAAAGTGACATACTGTCCAATATTCCAGCGACAGAAATAAGGACAATCGTGTGCACATGTAACATTCAGATTACTGCACCATTGATTTCTTCCTTAAAGCTGCACTAAACAACATGCAAGCTGTTAACACCAGTCCTCCTGCGAAGTGTTGCGTTCCTGATTTCTTTTGCAAAAATCCTGCAGTGATCTGAAGCAAAAGGACATGTTTGTGATTTTGGAAAAGAAATGCAAGAAAAGCCTGATTGTGCCCAGTGGGTTGTATTCAGCGTAGCTCTAAGAGGTATGTTCCATCGGTGCAACAATTTCTCCTTGTGCAATGGAACGTTCTTCCTAATATAAATGGATAGCTCAGTCGGTAGAGCATGAGAATCTTAATCTCAGGGTCGTGGTTTTGAGCTTCATGTTAGGTGAAAGATTCCTGCATTGCAGGGGGCTGGTCTAAATGACCCTTGGGGTCCCTTCCACTCTGTTGTTGTTTAGTCGTTTAGTCATGTCCGACTCTTCGTGACCCCATGGACCAGAGCACGCCAGGCACTCCTGTCTTCCACTGCCTCCTGCAGTTTGGTCAGACTCATGTTTGTAGCTTCAAGAACACTGTCCAACCATCTCGTCCTCTGTCGTCCCCTTCTCCTTGTGCCCTCAGTCTTTCCCAACATCAGGGTCTTTTCCAGGGAGTCTTCTATTCTCATGAGGTTACCAAAGTATTGGAACCTCAGCTTCATGACCTGTCCTTCCAGTGAGCACTCAGGGCTGATTTCCTTAAGAATGGATGCGTTTGATCTTCTTGCAGTCCATGGGACTCAAGAGTCTCCTCCAGCACCAACTCCCTTCCACTCTACAATTCTCTAATTCTATGAATCTGCCCCCCTGGAGTTCTCCCAATCCTCCAGAGCAGATTTCTGGGTGGTGTGGAACCCTTTCAGGGAGAAGAGAGGGGGGCAGTCCTGTGGTGCTGGCATCCATCTTTGCCTGAGCACCAGTATTTATCTGAATACTGCCAAATGCATAGAGGTCCATTGATTCTAATGGGCTTACTCTGAGTAGAACTCAGTTGGACACTATCCATACTCAAGAATTCAAAATGAACCTCACTCGCAGGGTCATGCGTATTGGAGGTTATGCATGGACAAAGCCTTGGCGTTCACAGTTCTGCGCTGACATTCGTGTATGCAAGAATCAAGAGGATGGTGCTGATTAATTTGTTCAGCAGTGTCCATGCGCATGATGCTTGGCAGAGAATGAGAAGGCCACGCCCTTCCCCCAAGGGGTTTACAATCTAGAAATAGACATAGAGGAGACAGCAGAGGAAGGAGATGGAAGTGGAGGTGGGATAAACGGGAATAAGATGTGATTGCTGCAGTTGCATGTACCTAGGCTAAGTTACTTTAAGATACATGGACAGGTGTTCACCAGAGGTTTGCTGGAAAAAGAAAAGTGAGCTTCCCATTGCTAATGTGGCTTTGAAACTTGAAAAATAACAATTGTAGAAACTTACACCCAATAGGGTTTTTTTTTAAAGGCCTCCTCTAAAAGCACGGGTGTTACTAAGGGGTGTCTTCTGCCCCAGGTCACAAGCTTCCTGCCCCTCCTTTTTAAACATTGTTTACAGGTAGGGATGTAAGAAAGCATTGTTTTGTGTCCTTCCCTGTATTCATCACATGCAGCAGTGTCTCTGTTCCACGGCAGTTCATCTTCCGCCCCCAAATATGTTATCCGTCTTGCTGTCTGCAGTGGCAAAATTATATCCCTTACATAATTAACCACCTAAATCATGTAAATTGCATTGCCGTTATGTAATACCGTCCCATTCATTTCAGTGCAAAGCAAATAATGCCATGGGGGGGGGGAAAGACCCGTAATCAATCACTTATCGTTTGAGGACAGAAAGCAATAACGGCAGCTCATACTGACCAGATGCGCTGGATTGACTTTGTTTCCAGACATAGGATAAATAATCAAACACTGGCAATTTCCTATCCTGTTTCCATCAGAATTCCACCCAAAGTAGTTACAGGGCAGCTTTTCTGGAAGTTGGCCATCATTTGCATCTATACATATAAATTAGCATGTGCGGATTTTCTGTCTGCCTTTTAAATATGTCCTCAAGGGGACAGTGTTTCAGCAGGGGTGGATACCAGAAATGCAGACCTTTCCCTGGTGAATTGGGACAGGTTTCATGGTTCGAAGGTTGGATCCAGGACTCAGGAGACCCGGGTTCAAATTTCCACTCAGCCATGAAGCTCACTGAGTGACCTTGGGCCAGTCACTGCCTCTCAACCTAACCTACCTGTGGAACCAAAGAAATGCCCCTCTGCTCTGGTGTAGGGCAGTACAGTGGTACCTCGGGTTACATACACTTCAGGTTACAGACTCCGCTAACCCAGAAATATTACTTCAGGTAAAGAACTTTACCTCAGGATGAGAACAGAAATTGTGCTCCGGCGGCGTGGCAGCAGCAGGAGGCCCCATTAGCTAAAGTGGTGCTTCAGGTTAAGAACAGTTCCAGGTTAAGAACGGACCTCCAGAACGAATTACGTACTTAACCTGAGGTACCACTGTACTGAGGTAGGTGGCCATTTGGTCTGGCTCAGAAAAAGTCATGTCCCTGTGTTCTGGTACTCTGTCCGTCAATCCCATTATCATCTCCTCTGACTGGTGGCAGCTGTCTAGGGTGTTGGCCATTCCTTTATCTGCTGACTGTGCCTTTTTCTCAGGTGGCAATACCCGGGATCGAACCCAGGACTTGGGGCATGCAGAGGACGCATTCTCTAGCCTTGGGTCCCCTAAGAGGGATGCGAGGTTTGAGAAGTGTGCGGTTTTTTGAGGAGAGAAGCGGCTGTTACCAGAGAGAGACATAGCGACTGCCTATAAATACCTGCCACAGACAACAGAGCGAGGAAGCGGGGGGCGGGGGGGGGATGATCGTTTAGTCAATGAGAAGCAGTTAAACACAGCAATTTTAGTCTGAGCTGGAGGAAGAAAGTAATAATAATGAATCAACGGAATGAATTATGCAGCAGAGTCCTGGTCTCGCCACCCTATTTATCCCAATTCATGGTATGGGATGAAGTGGGCTTGGGGAGGACGCCGGAATGTAATTGTCATTGTGCCCCGATCCAAACATCTAGGTGCAGCTGATTTGGGAATGCAATGTATAGGCCTGGTTGCTGCATCTCAGATAAGGATCCTTGTCAAGCAGGGCCAGATTTTTAAAATAAATGTACGTGATAAAATTATGCGTCTGAGTAGGCTTGCCCAAGTTTTTAAATAGGCATTGAAAGCAGTACAACAAAGGCCTAGTGCCTATATAAATCTATATCTGCTTAATTAGCAAGTCTTCCCAGAATAGCTCAGTGAAAACTCAATGGCCAGAAAGGGCTGGTGGGCAACAGGAGGCGTAGATATAAAGTGACCAGAGAGACCCAACTCCATGTCTGAATGGACCGTTTCCTTGCTCATTTGTTGTTGTTGTTGTTGTTGTTTAGTCGTGTCCGACTCTTCATGACCCCATGGACCAGAGCACGCCAGGCCCTCCTGTCTTCCACTGCCTCCCGCAGTTTGGTCAAACTCATGCTGATAGCTTCGAGAACACTGTCCAACCATCTCATCTGTCGTCCCCTTCTCCTTGGTCCCTCAATCTTTACCAACATCAGGGTCTTCTCCAGGGAGTCTTCTCTTCTCATGAGGTTGCCAAAGTATTGGAGCCTCAGCTTCACGATCTGTCCTTCCAGTGAGCACTCAGGGCTGATTTCCTTACGAATGGATAGGTTTGATATTCTTGCAGTCCATGGGACTATCAAGAGTCTCCTCCAGCACCAGAATTCAAAAGCATCAATTCTTTAGCGACCAGCCTTCTTTATGGTCCAGCTCTCACTTCCATACATCACTACTGGGAAAACTATGGCTTTAACTATACGGACCTTTGTTGGCAAGGTGATGTCTCACTGCTTTTTAGGATACTGTCTAGGTTTGTCATTGCTTTTCTCCCAAGAAGCAGGCATCTTTCTAAATGTCCCTGGGACAGAAGAGCTCCCCATTCTTATGACTGGGAGGAACCAATGAATTGAATGTGGGCTGGGGTTGAGCATCAGCGCATCTGTTTGCTGACCCCAAAAGAAAACATAACCCAAATTGTGAAAGGGGGGGGAGAACCAATATGGAGGGGCTGCAAACATCCCATTGGGAAGTGAGTGCGCTCTATGGGCATGGAGAAGCTGTTAGAGGGAAGGAAAAGGGGAAATGGGGAGTAGAGAATGGAATGGAGTTAGTGGAACTGTGACCAGGTGGGCTCCACACTGCAACATTTTGTTGCAGGGCTCCCGCTTGCACTGACTAATGCAGCCATGCTTCCACTCAGAGGGAGGCACGATGGGACTAACCTCAGATCCCGTCTTCACTCATATCAGGCTAGTCCCTCTTGAATTTTTAGGTGGCGAGCCTTGCAGGTTGGGGGGCGGGGAGCCGCCAAGGCAAAATCTGCAGGGGGAGGAGGCAGTGCTCTTTGCAGTAGGTGACATCATGAGGGCTGATGTATCTAGAGCAGGGAGATGTATGGCACTTCTGCACTGTACCCTGAAAGGGGAATGGCTAGTGATGCCTTTTGGGAGGGGGAGGGGAGTTCCGCTCAGAAAAGTGCAAATTGTGTCCTTCTACTTCCAGACTATCCATATCCCTCCCCCTTATGCTGCTCTGAAGCAGCGTTTGTGCATGGATCCGACACAAAATGCATGCAGTTATGCAAGATTGGGGGGGTGGAATGATAGAGAAAAGTTTTCCTCTTTCTCTAATAACTCTAGAACTCACGGACATCTAATGCATCTGTATGTTGAAAGAAAAGAAAGTACTTCTGCATGCAGCGCATAGTTAAAAACTATGACACTCGCTCCCGCAATATGTACCGATGGCCACAATTTGGATGAGTTCAGCAGCATCTGGAGGGCCAAAAATCCCCCACGTCTGATATAGGTGCAGCAGATTTTTAAAAAAAAAATCAGGAGGGAGGGAAGGTGATATACTATTTTAAGAGTATTTGCTGTGGATATTCTGTATTTGTACTTCATAATAATTACAGCAATGCTAGCCTGACACCCACACTTGTATATTTAAGTAGCTGTGCCTTTGGTATACATATCTAAAACCCCATTCAGTAGTTTCTATAACAACTGGGATCAGTTTTCTGTGTCCTCACTCACCTTTCAGCTTGAACCAGGCACGGATGTACAAAACCTACATGAGCATCTGAACTGCCATGGTTCTGAACTCCGCTTTCCCAAATGTTATTTCATTAACTTGCATGTTAACATTGGCATTTGCAGAATTGTGATATTTCAGAGTTCATGGTTTCTGAGTGAAAGTTGGGGGGGGGGGGAGAGAGAATAGCAGCCTGGGTTTTGGATGGATGCAACAGACTCGACTCCTGCATCCCAGAAGGCTTGGGCTATTAGGAAGGCGTGATGGTTGACCAATGCCTTTCCTTTTCTGTCTTCCAGTGTGACCATGAGTGCGGGCTCTATTGAGCAGGAACCGACACGCAAGCTGGCTTGCTGTGGGGTCCCCCTCATCACGGAGGACATGCAGTCACTGGCCATCCGCACGCTGTCCGGCACGGACATCAACAAACACTATGACCTCATCCGCGAGCTGGGAAAAGGGACCTACGGCAAGGTGGACCTTGTTTCCCACAAGAGCACAGGTGAGCTCAGCAGTGCCCTCTGCTGGTAGAGTCCAAGCAAGAGAACACCCATGCATTAGGTCAGGTGTGAGGGACCATTGTCCCTCCAGGTGTTGCTGATCTGCAGCTCCCATCAGGTTGGTCATTGACCAGGGATGATGGGGTTTGTAGCAACATCTGCAGGACCACACATTCCCCATACCTACCTTATGTACTACTGAGATACCTGGCTCCTGAAGCAATTACCTCTTCCACCTGTATGTTTCATTTAAAGCAGCCTGAGGGCCACATTTCCTTCTGGGCAATATTCCAGGGGCCACATTCCAGTGGTGGGGCCATAGTCAAATGTGAGCAGAGCAGTGAATCTAAACATTACCTTTGTACAGCTGTCTAGATCAGACTTCCTCAAATTCGGCCCTCCAGATGTTTTGAGACTACAATTCCCATCATCCCTGACCACTGATCCTACTAGCTAGGGATCATGGGAGTTGTAGGCCAAAAGACATCTGGAGGGCCGAGTTTGAGGAATCCTGGTCTAGATTCTATGCACCCTCAATCCAATTCACCCTGTCCTCTCTCAGGGATTGACCATAACACATCCCACAACCTGTGGGGAACCTTCAGCCCCATCAAAAGTTCCTTTCTAGTTATCACGATTGCTCCATCAAGGCGGTAAACTCTGAAATCATTTTGTTCTGCTTTTGTAAGTCAAAGTGAGTGACATTCTGAGCATTCTCCGTCCTTCCTCCCACTTCTCCCTCCCCATTTACAGGCACCAAGATGGCGCTGAAGTTTGTCAACAAGAACAAGACAAAGCTGAAGAACTTCCTGAGGGAGTTCAGCATTACCAATACACTCTCCTCGAGCCCCTTTATAATCAAGGTCTTTGATGTAGTCTTCGAGACGGAGGACTGTTACGTGTTCGCCCAGGAATATGCACCTGGCGGAGACCTCTTTGACATCATTCCGCCACAGGTAACTAGGCCTGAGTTCCACTGGCTTTTTGGCTGTTTGAGTCCCTCAGGCTACATTCAACCCACACATCTAAAGCGCTATGATACCTTGTTAAACAGGCCTGACTTCCCTCTAAGAATTCTGGGAGCTATAGTTTGTTAAAGGAGTTGAGCTGCAATTCTCAGAGCGGTTTCACATTCGATCCCAGGAATTGCCTGAACCCTTATATCCTGACTTGAGCACTGAGATCAGCTTCAGGAGAATCGTTGCTCATTCCCCGAGTTGACAAGGCTCACTTTGATAACAACAGGAAATGGAGCCTTTAGAGTCGTTGAGTGTTCTTGGGAGGCCATGTTTATTCCTGGCGTTTCCCGCTGCCCTTTCTTAGCTGATGGTATCTCTCTCTCTACCTGCAGGTGGGGCTTCCTGAGGACATGGTGAAGCGCTGTGTGCAGCAGCTTGGCCTGGCCTTAGATTACATGCACAGCAAAAACTTAGTCCACCGGGACATCAAGCCGGAAAACGTCCTCCTCTTCGACCGCGACTGCCGGCGTGTCAAGTTGGCCGACTTTGGCATGACGCGCAAAGTGGGGTGCCGGGTGAAGCGCATCAGCGGGACCATCCCGTACACGGCGCCCGAGGTGTGCCAGGCCGGCCGGGCCGAGGGCTTCACCGTGGACACCAGCATTGATGTGTGGGCTTTCGGGGTGCTCATCTTCTGCGTGCTGACGGGCAACTTCCCCTGGGAGGCAGCCTCGGCCTCGGACACCTTCTTTGAGGAGTTTGTGAGGTGGCAAAAGGGGCGCCTGGCGGGGCTGCCCTCCCAGTGGCGCCGCTTCACGGACAACGCGCTGCGGATGTTCCAGCGCTTGCTGGCCCTGGACCCGGAGAAGCGCTGCCCTGTGAAGGAGGTCTTCTTCTTCATCAAGTACGACCTGATGTCGGAGGTGCGGCGCCGGCCCTCCTACCGCTCCCGCAAGCACACCGGAGACAAGCTCTCTGCCGGCCCTCACCGCCACGAGACGCCCAGCAGTTGCACCCCGACCCCCCTCAAGAGGACCATCCTGACAGAAGGCAGCGTCTCCCGGCTGTCTGCCTCAGAGTCTGGCCTCCCTTCCCCCGGGGCGGGAAGCAGGACTGATGGGCGGCAGGACAAAGGCAAAGGCCAGATGGTCCTGGCCACAGCCATCGAGATCTGCGTCTGACGAGGGCGTGGCAGGCCCCTCGGTGCCTCACGGCCTGCAGTTAAGATGTCAGCACTGCAATGCCCTCTCCTGCTCTGGGACAGGCTGCGTGCGAACGGAATCCATTTTGGGGACCAGGATCCATGTCTTTTGAAGCAAAAAAACAACAACGAAAAATGGGGTGGTGGGGGAAGAGGATAGAAAATGTGGCTTTCCGTTTTCCTCAGTAATCCTAAGGATGTCCATGGTTGTCTGAGGCCACAGGAGAAGAAAGGCCTTCTCTCCTCATTCACTTGAAGACTGGGAGCTGAGGCCTGGATTAAGGGACTGCTGAGTCGGTGGCAGGAGAAGACGGAGCCCATAGCGCCTCAAGGATGAACATCTGAGGGAATCGGGACTTTGTCTCTGAAGGGAGGGGAGGGAAACCCAGTTGGCCGGTGGCTTTCTCTTTTTGCCCATCAGGAGTAGCTTTGAGATGGTTTCCGAGCGGGGGTCCTTGCGATGAAAATAATAATAATAATAATGGAATGGGTTGGGGGTTGGGTGGAGGGGCAGAAGTGGGGGCAGAAGAGCCCCATTGATCTGGCAAGCAGTTTCTTTCTGGGCCTGCTGGGATAGAGTTGGTGGTAAGCAAAGAGGCTGGGGCTGGTTATTTAAGTCATCCGGAGCCTCTTTGCTGGGCATCAACTGGCTTACAGCGCCCCTACGCCTGGTTGCCAGGGGGTGAAGTCAGAACAGACTCCCAGAAAAAGAGGCTGGTGAGCTCAGTGTGCTGGGGGAGGGCTGTCTGTTGAATTGGCACTTGTACTGGATCCAGCTTCCAATTCCAATAGCAAGGGGGGAACAGGGATCCCAGCTGAGACCGACACGTAGCACAGCTAATATATCACTTCCTGAGGAAGTGGCGGGGAGAGTCGTTTTTATTTCTGACTGGCGCTAACCCCCCAGGTGTGAGCAAAGTGCAGCGTCAGGGCAATCCGGGGACCACAGAGATATCACAGTGATGCCATTGGTGCCACTGATGTAGCAAGTGTTTCCTGTGTCAACGTGTGCGTGTGGCTGTATGTAAATGTGTCTCTACAGTCTGGATGTTTGGGTCAGTCGTTCACTGTTGGCCACGTGGCCATCGCCCCTGAGGAAAAGGCTTGGGTGCTTGGGCCGAATGATGGGGAGGACAAAGGGGAAGCCATTTTGTGTGAGGCCACCGCCCGCCTGTGATCACAACCAGGCATGCGCACTGCAAGAGGTGCGCGTGTGGGGGGAAGGGCATTCTGTGTGGGAGCACAAGCTTCTTCCTGCAGCGCACTGGGAGTTCACAGCTCAGACAGGGCTCTCTAGTTCAGGGGTGGGCAATCTTTTTCCTTCTCAAGAACTGCATTCCTTCTATTGAGGTGGGGGATACACACACCTTGAAAGTGGGTGGAACAGGAGTCAAAATCAGGCAGGGCCAGGGCCAAAGGTGAATATGGATACCCCATCTTTCTCTCTTTCTACCACCCCCTTTTCTCTCTCTTTCTGTTGCTCCTTATCTTTCTTTTTTCAGTCACCCCCTTTTTTTCTCTCTCTCTGCCACCCTTTCTTTCTGCTGCCCTCTTTTCTCTCTTTTTACCACCCTCTTCCTCTCTTTCTTCTTCCCCCTTTGCTCTCTCATTTCCTCTCTCTTTCCGTCATCACCTTACACCTCCACCCTTCACCCATGTGAAATTAGGCCAAGATTCCCATGTGGCCCTAGGGCCACAACTTGCCCACCCCTGGTCTTGTTGAACACCAGTCCAATAAGGAGCAATTGGGCAGAAAGTTTCAGGGTATGTATGGCATACACCTAGGGTATGACTTACCCCTTGGGTAAGACTGGGTGGCTTCATAAGAATGTATTGAGCATCAGAGAAGCTCTTGAACCGAGGCCTGCTAAACTCTTTTATGGTTTTCTAACTGGCCTAGCTTTTATATAAAGAGAAGAATCCTATATAAAACCTGAGTTGGAGCAACGGCTTAGGGTTCTAGTATGCTGGAAAACATGGACATCTAAACATCACAGGAGCCAGGACTAGAGCCCATCCAAGAGGGAGCAATGCCCTGTGCCTAATGGAGACCCTCAGATGACACTAAGGGCTGCCAGTTCATACTGCCCATCTCTCTGGGCTGACTTTATAATCAGGATTCTGGTACAGATATATTCTTTGGGACAGGGTAGGGTGTGGGGAAGAAAGGTAGGGAGGGTCATCACAGTATGACCGAAGTGTAGACTGTGCTAAAACAACCTTGCCCATGGCAAAATGTCCCCATAACCTACTGGCCGCAGTTGGATGGGGAAATCAGTTGAGAATGAAGACCAAAGGCCGTGCCTGTGTGTTGTGGCAAGCCACAGGGGAATGGATCTGCTTTCAATTCAACTAGGGCTTAGGATGCAAACGGCGAGGATTTTTGACCTTTCCACAACAGGGCTCCTAGCGACGAGACGCCCTCCTTTCACCAAGGGCTTAGACCAACACTGACCTCCCTTTGCTGTCGACTTGAACCCCTTGAGGTGTGGGGAGGCCTTGCTCCCGGGAGTCACGGTAGTCACCCCTTGGTGCTGTTCCTTTGGGGAGGGTCAACTCTGTAGAGGAAGGCAGGCCTTTTGCAGTGTCTCTCTGATAAAGCCAAGTCTGTTGTTGCGTCTCCTTCCTTCGTCCCCCTTCGCTTGCCTCGCCTCCCATTTCCCAACCTAGGTGAGAATGGCCCTGGGCAGAGCAGCTCAGCTCAGCCCTTCGCTTCCTGTGGGGTCGTACACACTCATCTCTCCTCCGAGCCAGACTGCGGGCCTGCCGGGTGTGTCTTGTGTGTGTCTCAACCTCCCCAGGGTTCCATCCTTTCCACACAAAGGGCTAAAACGCTATTTCCGAAGCAACAAGCAGTTTACAAAATCTCAAAAGTGGCTGCCCGCCACCACTTCCCCACCCCTTCCCAACTCGAGGGGGCACTGCCCAGCAGCTGGTATTTAACCAGATTGTGTGTGAGTGTGCGTGTGCGTGCATTTGTGTGTGAAAAAGGCAAGGGTGCACTATCTGTGTCATCAGTGCCAGCTGGCGACTCCTGTTCGTCCCACAACCCCAGTTGTCTGTAAGCTCCGGATAACACAGCAGCCTGAGGTGACCAAGCGCAACCTTACCGTGGCTCCATCCTCTTAGCCCAGACCCTGACCAGGGTTGTGGGAGGGTGGAAGAGAGTGTATGTGAGAGACACCACTTTAACTGCCTTTACCGCTGCCTCCTTTCAGGCAAGCTCTGCGTGTTGGGGGTGCACCAGGCGATTCCTGACCTCCTTTGGTATGACCTGGCACACCCCGCCACTCCTCTCTTCGCCAATTCGTAGTCCCCGCTTGTTAATCCGTATGTCTTGACTTCCCGAGTGGGCGCAGCTGTTTCCCCTCCCTTTCTCCTTGGCGTCACTGCCGCCATCTTGTCTCTGTGTGGGGTGGCAGCCGAGGCTAGACTTTTTTTAGAAATAGGCATTGCACAGAATTTTTAGATATTAGCCGCAACGTCTCCTTTTTGCCTTAGGTTCCAATTGTCCTTGATCTTTTGTGCAATAATGTAGATAAGGATTAAGAACACCATATAGACCTTGTTTTGGTTTATTTTTATTTTTCGAATTGTTTTGAGGGGGGGAATTGAGGGGGAAGGTTGGGGATGTTGGGAATGGGGTCTGTTGGGCGCGCGCGAGTGTGACATGTTTTCCATTATCCTTGTTCTTGGTCTTTGTTTTCCCTTCTGTTGCCCATCCACTTTTGGACTTGTTCCCCTCACCATATAAGAGGTTTTCCCCTCCCCGTATCAAACATGCATTACCTCAGTTTCTGTCACAATTGAGAAGGAAAGCTTTCTTTCTTTTAATTTAAAACAAAAACATTACAATGGTAATTTTTTGGAAAGCAAACAAAAAAAAACCTCATGTGGAAGATGGGTGTGTTATGGAAAATACTATGTTTTTTTATTTTTTAAAAGAAGAAAACACATTTAAGATAATGGTGATTTCCTGTTGTAGCATTGAGGCAGTGAAACTTCCCCAAATGTGTGATTCTGATGAGGCTCCTTCAGTTCTGCAGAAAAGGCTTTCCCCAAAAGGAAGATACCAAAATCATATGGGGGGGCGGCATTTAGCATTTGGTTGTTGCTCTTCATAAGAAAAGGGACCATATTCCAGAGAGCTGTTGGATTGGTTCCTACACTGCTTTAAGCTATAGTCAAGCTTTGCTATGGTTGAAAGGCCACTTCTTGCTGCTGCTGGGGAAGGGAAGAAATTTGATCGGTTTGCATTTAGACGTGAACTTGCTTAATTCGGTTTCTGAAATAATATGTAAACTGAAACATAGCCGTTCTTCAAAATTCACACCTCTCCCAATTGTGCACTGTTGTTCTCCAGCCAAGTAATGTGTGTGGGAAATGCATATAGCAGACCAATGTGTGCATATAAATGCATGTACTAGTGTACAGAACATGCAAAAATGCATTACGGTACGATGGCGATTTATGACAGGGTTCAGTCCCAAGGGTACAACCAACCCATAGCTGGAGGGAGAAAGAGAGATAACCAAGTATGAGGCAGAGAGTCTAGCAGCTCTTTTTGTGCCAAGAAACCCCAAGCAGACCTGGCCTCCCAAAAGGTTTTAAGCTCTCTGTCTTGTTAGAGAGGCAAGAGACGCTCAGCACATTGGCTACAGGTGTGCTTGTGTGAGATCTCGCAGGAGCTGGGATGGCCTCATGAGAGCATCCCAGAGTTGATGTACTGAGCTGCCCCCCAAGCAAGGAGGAGAGCTTTAAAGCTCTTCCCATGCATAGCAAACTCCATGCAAAAAGAGCTTTTCAGTTATCCCCATTGCTTGGATTTAACTCGTGCAATTTCAACCAGCCTGCCTTCATAGAACTGCAGAGTTGGAAGAGACCCTGAGGGTCATTTAGTCCAACCTCCTGTAATGTAGGAATCGACCACATAGGGTTGAAATTGCACATGAGTTAGATGCTGGTAAGATGGGATTGTACTGTATAGTAAGCAAAATTGATTTGCAATAACATAAAATATAGGCAGAATAGCACACACAAAACGTATGTGAGAAGAAATCCACACTAACGTGCCAATGAATTTTCACGAAGGCTTGAAAAATAAATTAATAAATTGCAAACGGATGTGGAAAACTGAACTTAAGACTGGGAAAAGGAGATAGCAAAAGAGAAACCAAAACTGACTGGTTTCCCCATCCCGATCTGCTGCCACCCTACACAGAGCTAAGCCATGGTTTGGCTTAACCATACATCCGAACCCAGGGTCACGGTTTGTTTTGCTCAGTCAGACCACGAGGGGTAAGCCAAGAGCAAACTTTGGTTATAGTTCATGGCTTTTTTGGACAAAGACCAAGGTTCAGACATAACGCTAAGCAAAAACCATGACTTAGGTCCAGCTGAGGTGGCAGGAGCTAATGGTAGGGCCGGCCCAGCCTCTTTAATGTGTCCCATCTGCTTCCCACAATGCCACTCTTAATAATAATAATTTATTATTTATACCCCGCCCATCTGGGTGGGTCCCCCCAGCTACTCTGGGCGGCTTCCAACAAAACACTAAAATACAATAACCTATTAAACATTAAAAGCTTCCCTAAACCATGTCTAGACTCCACCCCTTCACCTTGCCTCATGGCCAGCCCTCCGCTGGGATGGGGTGATGGTAGCCCTTTTCAAGGACTATTCTGTTGTTTGGAAAAACCACACCTTTGGGGAAGCTTCACTGCCTTACGTGGTTGTGTTTGTGACTTAGCATTGTGAACTGGTCGGATGTGTAAGCGCCGTTCTTATAGTGTACTCCTGCAAAGGAGAGGGAAGGGGTGTTGCCAAGCCACCATCAAGGTTATGTGCCAACGTGGGGCGTACATATTCTTTCTCTCTCTCTCTCACACACACACACAAACCCCAGATAGGCAACTTCTTCCACTCCTTCCCAGAGGAGAAAGAGAAAAGATTTTAAAAATGGAGCAAAGAAACATTCACCATCACACACACACGCAACAGCGCGGAACAAACGTTTGTAAATATTCTGGAATTCTCTTGACTTGTGAAAAGGAGGTTTTTAAATGTTATTTAATTAATTCTATATTGCGGACAATTGCTATAAAATAAAAAGGGGGTAAAAACATTGACCTGTCTATCTTCATGCATGCAAGAGTGGGGAAATACGGTGGCATGGGGGAGAAGAATTGGGCTCTTCTGTTCCCCAGCACTAATGCCAATGTGAATTGCCGTAGTTCAGTGACAGGGCATCTGCCCTGCATGCAGGGTCCCAAATTCAATCCTAGGCATCTCCAGGTAGGGCTGGGAAAGAGCCTCCTCTGAAACCCAGGGTTGCTGCTGCCAGTCAGTGTAGACAATACTGAGTTAGATGGATCTATGTTCTGGCTCCCTATGCTGGGAATGTCCTCTTTACTCACCCAGAACACCTGTTGAAGAGTAACAGATGCAACAGCTTTGTTCAGGCAGGCTTAACACGGTAATTCAGTTGCAAACACATACTTAGGTCTAGCTTCAAAGGTAGTCTGAGCT